TTTTTTTTTTTTTTTTTCAGGTACGAGGGAACGTGACAGCTATAACAAAGAAAACAGAGGTTGAGAACATGGTTGCGAATATGGTGACAGAGGAATCCCTAAAACTAAGACATGACAATGTCAACCATTAGAAAGGATAAGAGCATGATCAAGTGTTACTCTTGTAAAAAATTATGGGCACTATTCAGTAGAGTTCTGCAAGAAGAAGCACGATGAGGAGTAAAAGCTCACACTCACGCATGATTAAGAGCCCGCACTAATGTTGGCTGAAAAAGATATCCAACCTATTGATGCTCAACAAAGAGAAGATGATGTTGAACCTTCTCACAAAAGGAGAAGACCCAGTGGAGACCAACGTGTGGTATCTTGACAACGGAGAAAGCAACCACATGACTGGAGATCGAAAAAAGTTTAAGTAGCTTGATGAGAAGCTCATTGGAAATATGAAGTTTGGCGATGGATCAATTGTACCGATCCAAGGCAAAGGATCCATATTTTTCTAGTGACCAAGGTATACAATGTCTCAAACATGAAGAGTACTTGGTTAAATGACGGAAGAAGAAAGTAAAGTGGAGTTAGCTGGCTCGTTCCTCAAAATATTCGACAGAAATGGAGCAGTGTTGATGAGGTTAAAACGGTCACATAACCGCCTGTACAAGATACTATTGAAGACTAGTCAGCCCACCTCTCTATTGATGGCACTCGTAGACCCAACTTGGCTATGACATGCAAGACTTGGGCATGTGAATTTTCAGGTGCTCAAAATGATGAGAGAGAAGAAGATGGCTACGGGGCTACCCAAAATCATACACCCAAACAAGCTATGTGAGAGTTGTCTAGTCTCCAAACAAGAAAGATTGTTGATTGTTGTTCCCAACTTAAACAAGCTTATGTGTTGAGCGACCACTGCAATGGGTAAAATTGTGGTTGATGGAACCACAACAATAGTAAGAACGGATGAGAACTTCATGTGCTTAACTTTAGACATTTGGCCTCATGACGAGTGTCATTGGCCTAAACTTTGTGTTTCGGATGGTCATGCATCTATGCTCAATTTGGTGAGGATTCCCGAAATCAAAAGGAGAAAAAAAAATGTAACTCAGAGTATTTTATTAATCAACTCTATCTTCAATTTTTTTTACCATCCTTTAACTCTTCCTATCCTCAAGAAAGCAGTTCAAGGTTTGAGTATTAATAATGCATAATTGTTTCTTCCTTTAAACTATTATGCTAAAATCTAACATAATTTGCACTCTATCATTAGCTTTCAAGTGGGTAAGGATTAGAGTTGGAGGTACTTTACAAGATAAATTGATTTATAACGTTGGAGCCGGCTTCTAGGGAACCTGTCACCCATTTCAAGCAAACAAAGGTTCGTTGGAGCCGACTTCTAGGGAACCTGTCACCCATTTCAAGCAAACAAAGGTTCGTTGGAGCCGGCTTCTAGGGAACCTGTCACCCATTTCAAGCAAACAAAGGTTCGTTGTTTGACTTATGGGTGGAATATTTGTACGTGGGATGATTTGAACAACTTTTTCAACAATACAAGTATGTTATTTATTATTATTTTTGGTATTTTTGCTTGCTTTCTTTTTTCCTCTCTTATACTAAAAAAAATATATATATTTAATATAATAGGGCGATTGTGACTTTTGGCTTAAATGCTCGGTTGGGTGAGTACAAGACACAAGGAATTCAATGGAAGGAAATTGGAACTATAGCAATGTCGAGGCTCTTATTCAATACATGGTAGAGAATAATTATCAAATAAATTCATAGGAGTTTGGTAAGTTAAATCGTACTGGATGCAATTAATCTTGGTTGAGCTAATACTTTATTTCGTGCTCACTAAGACATATGCTACATGCAATGAACTGGCTGGACTTAATAGCATTGGTGCAAGTGTTACTGCTTCACAATATGCAGAAGACATTATCAAGCTTCGAGAAATCATATCGTTTGTACAATAACTCCCAACAAAAACCTATGATTGTAGCACCTGGTGCATTCTTTAATGAATAATGGTACGATGAATTTCTTAGAAAAACTGTATAAGGAGTTGTCGATGTTCTCACTCATCATATATATATATATAACATGGGTGCAGGTTTGGCTACAATACTTACTACCATCATCATCATGCAATTTGTATATAAATTCTTACAAGTATTGAGAGTGTGCTTTCGTTTGTAGGTGATGACCCCAAATTGATTTATAGGTTCGTTAATTCAACATATCTTTCTCAAGTATCAAACACATTTGAACATCTTGAGAACATAATTCAAAAGAATGCCCCTTAGACTGTCGCTTGGGTTGGAGAAGCGAGTGGAGCTTATCAGGGTGTCAGTCCTCATCTTTCTTATACATTTATCAATAGTTTTTGGTAATCAAATCTATTTCGAATTTTTTTCCCCGTCTGCATTTAAATGTGAAGAAAAGAACCATGCTCAAGTAATTATAGAATGAATTGAATACATTAGGTACTTGGATCAACTCGAGATGGCTTCAATGTACAATACAAAAGTATATTGCAAGCAGACTTTGATTGGTGGATTCTACCGTGTCATCAAATCCTCAACTTTACTTCCTACGCCAGATTACTATGGGTACCTCCCGTCTTCAAATCATCTATCTTTAAACAAATTCTTACTTCATTTGATATTTTCTTTTTTTGATTAGTGCACTTCTCTTTCATGGACTTATGGGACCTCGTGTTCTCAAAATTCACAATAATGTCTCTTCTGACCTTAGTAGCTATGCCCATTGTTCAAGAGGAAGAGTAAGAAGTCATTTTTAGATTCAAATAAATTAAAACTTTATTTGATACCATTTATTGATCTTAATTTATCATTTGATGTAGTCGGGTGTAACCTTGCTTTTCATCAATTTGAGCAATGAAACCAACTTTATAATTGACGTTGAAAATAACATCAACCTGAGTTTGAGTAAAAGAAAAGCTTCAAAAGGTCAAAGAATGAGTATAGATTTACCAACGGAGGAATATCATTTGACTCCAACAGATGGTTTACTTAGAAGTTCCACCGTCCTTTTAAATGGAAATCCATTGGAGACTACGAAAGATGGAGAAATCTTGTACTTGTTCTACCATCAGAGTAACAATTCTATACATATTGCTAGTTGGTCATTGCTTTCATTGTCATCTATCACTTTGTAGCTCTAGCATGCAACTGATTTTGTTGCCGCTCATTTCTTTTAAGCTTACTCTTTTTGTGCTTTCAAGTCCTGTAAGCAACTAATAATATGTAGGGTGCCAAAAGGAGTCGTGTAGTGTTAAAAATAATTTTTTTAAAGAAAAAATATATTATTGAATACATCTTATATTATGTCGTTCTTATTATTCTTATTACATATTTATCATATTGACAATATGATGTATCCAAACTTACGTTTTGACCTTGAACTCTTATATGATATAAGATTTATGTGTTACACACCATACTTATACATGGAATTTTACAATTTTTCTTTTTAAATTTTAAAGTTTTATTGAGGATTTCGGGTAGAAAGAAAAATACTTAGAAAATTATAAGGAAACCAAGAAAAATATTTTTAAAATGATAAAAAATTTAAAGATGGTCAAAGTCAACCAACACTAAATTGAGGAAGATCGAGTGTTGAATTGTTCATTTCAGCTAAGAATCGCACAAGAACTCGAGGTAAGTCCACGGGTAATTGGTCTTGGATTATTCTTTGTTAAGGATATTTAGTAATAAATTATAGTTTACCATATATATTATATTTGATATTTTATTATAAGGCAAATATCTAATATTTGCCTTATTATCATAGGTATCTTTCATTTATTGTTATTTCCATTTATTACTATTTCCATATCCTTGTAATTCATTTGATTATAAATAAGATAACTTTCACACTATTTAGGTGTGGTGAATTAATCAAACATTCACATTCTTTTTGAAAATTCGAGAGTTGTAGATGTCTTTAGAAACTGATTCCTGAGTATGTTGTTTTAGGCGAGAAAACATCACAGATTTCTTGTTTCGATTTGGTGGAAAACGTGTCGAAATTGAAGTTGTTGTAGATTTCAAAACTCAGTAAGGACTTGTAGTTTTTGAAAAGTTTGAATGAGTTTGTTAGGGTGTGTTTGGCTAAAATTGACTTTAGGAGCACTGAATATGTAGTCTACAATTTTTGTGAAGAAGCCTAATCATTTCAGATTAGGAATCAGATGATATCAAAAGAAAGTTTGAAAATCAGAAATGAAAAAAATTCACTAGATTCTAGGCTTGTGCAAGCTGACAATGAATAAGTTGCAAGCACGTGTCAAGCAGTCGGCCGGAGAATGCGTCTAAATCAACCAAAGACATGTATCGTGAAATCTCCAAGAACTAATGGCCAGAAAATGCGAGAATTCCGGTGCATCCTCAATCGAGACCACGCCCCCTCACTCCCAACACCTCTCCTACATGCTCCTTCAACCATAGACACCTGCAAGGAAAACATCAAGAGAGAAACGCAAGCTAGAGAGAGGAAACCGAGAATATTCTAGCAAGGCAAAACCTACAAAAACCGACATTGAAACACTTGGTTTACGAAACGAAAAAGACCGCCAACGATCCCACATGCACAAGAGGTAAGCTTTAAAAGCTATAATAACGTCGTGTGTCATCAGAATCTAGATTCAATTTGTAGATTTTGAGAGGCTCATGGATCTGTCGTTTTAGGCATCTAAAAGTCCCAAAACTTTGTGGAAAGGAAGCAAAGAGCTCAACAAAGAGGTAGAAGAGGAAAAACAACAAGAAAAGACGTCAGAAACGGTGTGGAGAGAAAAGAGAAAGGAAATCAAAAAATCACACTAAAAACTAGGTGAAGGAGACAAGTCCATCGGGCAAACCCCAACCAGTTGTCGTATCTTGTAATCTCTTTTCGATTTGTATTATGAAAGAGGACGAGTGTTTACCACAAAGAGTTGTGTTCAACATTACTTCAAAGTTAAGACTCTATTACGCTAAACATTCGTCATTTCTCAATCTACCGCCTTCACTCTCATATCTATAATTCAAAAGTTAGTATTACTTATAAGTTGTAGTAACCTCTTTCTTCAGTCCTTCTCCTAATGAGTGAAGTGGTTTAAATGGTTGCATGCAGCTTCTAATTGTTGTCATTGTGGAGGTGTTGGAACAATGTCTTTGAGGCTTCATAAGTGGACCAGGCAATGGCAGCAGCAGGCGCATGGAACAGCATCCTTGGAATCCACCCTCTCATCAACCCGCTCTTCCCATCCTTCTTCACCACATGCCTAACCACATTTGTTATTGAGCTGCTTGACAATCTGTCGCACCCACACACTCCCTGTTTGTACACTAAAACCATTGCCTTACCCATACTAAAACAGAGGACCCCTCTCGAGGCCAACAAGAAACACAACCACACATTACCTGGCACTGCAGCCGAGTTTTCACTACGTCTAATGGCGTTGTAAGACCAGCAGCAAGAGACCCAGCAGCCGCACCAGCCGTAACATGGACAACCAACCCCTCCCCGCCATCGCTTCCCGGCGAGCCCTCCTTCAATCCCCTTTTCACAGCTTCATAAATGGCAAAATGGGCAGCCGTGTACGGGGCATTCATCAAAACCGTGGTCCAATAAGAAGTATAGAACGCCCCAATTCCTTCCTCAACCAAAATCCTCCTAGCACAGTCCCTCACTCCCTTATAAGGACTGCTCTTCAACTGCAGCCTCTGTTTCACCACATCCATCGGCGTCAACGCGGCGTCGCTCGCCACCGTTGCGCAGACTCCAGAAATGGCGTGGGCTAATGGGTTGTTGGGATTCCCAATCGAAAATCTTTGTTTGCAGAATTCGTATACAGAGAAGTATACGGCGTGTGCAGGTCCTGCTCCGAGACCCATTGCTCCGATTCCACGGTAGAGCCCGGCCGGACCTTCCGATTTGAGAATCGAAGCGAGTGCTTGTCGGAGGGTGGATGATCCGGCAAGGGCTTGGATTCGGGTCTTGAGTGTGTCCACTGGAAACATGGCCATGTGCTCGACAGACCCTGCAATTGATCCGGCGATCATGAACTGCCAGAAGGACAGGCCATCGCGAGTGGGCGGGAATACTGAAATTTCAGGGCGACAATCGGGAGAGTGCGTGACGGTTGTTGTCATGGTAGATTGAAATTGGCATTAACAGGGGATTGAAACAAATGGGCACAGAGCATGTTTTATTTTTCAAACTCCTTTTTTGAGTTTTGTAAAATATGTAGAAAGATACGGAGTTCAATCCTGTTGATTCAAAGCTTGTTCATATTTGTTCAACCAATTTGTAGGGAATAATTGTGGGGTTATGTCAAAAAAGATGAATGAGACGAGGTTGTAGGTTGAACTGGGTGTTAATCTTATCCTTAATTCTCTCGAGAGCATCAAATTAGTCTTTTGCTGCTGCAACATCTAATGTTTATGTGTGGAGATTCTTCTTTTCTCGAGTTTATACCATGTGGGTACGATTACAAATTTTGACATTTTGGTTAAGAATATAGTCTTAAGCTGAGTTATACTAAACTTGTATCATCTCTTTATTTTTCATCTTCTCTCGAGTTTCACCCACGTAGTTAGGATACGAAACTATGACATTTCGATTTAAAAATATTTGTTTTAACTAATTGAATTATGTTAGTTATACTTAGGGAGATTCTTACCATAACTTTAGATTTGTTTATTTGTAAATGAACAATAAGATTTTACCACCACTTTTTCTTTTTTTAAGTCAACTTTTACAGCTTTAAGAACCTAAAAAATACCAACAAGAAAGTTGGTAGGCATCTTCCTTTATAAGAAAGTTAGGTTTAAAAGACGACAATAAAATTTACATAGTTTACTTCAAATCTAAGTTCGGGTTACTTTTTTTTCTCCAACCGATATGAGATCTCACAATTCACCCTTTTTGAGGGCCCGGCATCTCATCCTGCTGGCACATTTGCTCAGTGTTTGACTTTGATACCATTTGTAACCGTCCAAACCCACCCTTAGTCGATATTATCATATTTAGACTTTCGGTTAAAGTTTTTAAAAGGTGTTTGCTTGAAAGAGGTTTCTCCACACTCTTATAAACAATACTTTGTTTCCCTCTACAACGAGAAATGGGATCTCACCGTTTAAAACTATTGAGTATCAAAGATAAATGAGCCATAAGTTTACAATTATCGTGAAAAGGGTGGTTTGTGGTAGTGTTCTCTCTCTATACGTGTGTGAATATATATCGATACTTGTGTTTCTTTTTATCAAAAGGTTTCTTTTATCTCAACTCTACCGTTTATAACTACTAACTCCATGACTAATTAGCATTATTAGAAGCGATCATCATAGCATAAACTACATCTCTCATCGTTTAGACTCAGATTTAAAAGGCTCCAATTAACCTACAAGAAAGTGTGGAGTTCTTCGTATAGCTCGAGCAAGTAATAGAGATGAAGATGAGACTACTGAGAAGATAAGAATATATGTGTAAGAGTCCAAGCCTACTGCGGGTTTTCCCTCTCGGCTTCCCTTCAAAATTTTTAAAGGTTTTTACGCCCCTATAAAAAACGTTTTGTTCTCCTCTCTTATTTAGTGAACTCAAAGTCAACCTCCAATAGGATCGAGAAAGAAAAAGAAAAGAATGGTAAGAAACACAAACTTCAAAAACATTTATTGTCCATATGGAAACACCCATTTTTAAGGTTAGGTTAGGGGCAGACATGAAATGATGGATTGAATCACCCACTTGCCCTTCCCATTACCTTCAAATATCCCATCAACTTCCATCACTGCCCCCATCTTCGTGGGGGTGGATTCGATTAGGGGTAAAATGGTCATTCATCTTGACACCCATCCCTTGCCCGATCTCATCCATCTATAATTGTGTGTGTTTTTCAAGCTCTTTCACTACATCTCAACATGTCATTACTTATGTCAAAAAATGTTGAAATTTCTCTTATTTAGAGATGTCTACGAGACAAGGTAGAGACAGTGAAACTTTTTTCATCTGTATTTTCACGAAATTTTACATTTATTATTGAAAGGATCGAGATAGAGATTCTTCCAATGATAAGATTTTCGGTAAGAATTTTGTTTTGCATTTTAAAATAATTATTTTGAAGAAACTTTTTAATACATGATTGCCATTACTCACCCAATACAAATGGAACACAAACTTAAATTTAAGAAACACTCCTATGAACAATAAACAATAATCAATAAACAATAAACGCATTGGAACACTTCATTCATGGATAATGGAGTGTATCAGAATCGCAGCTTCATCTGTTGTGGTCACTGCATCCCCTGTTTCATTCATCACAAACCCAAACAACTCAGATTCAAATTAACACATTCAAAATCTTTACCTTGTAAACATACCCACCTTGAAGTGAAGCAGGCAAGTGGGACACAATGTTATCTATAATGCCACCGCCTCCTCCGCCGCCGCCGCTTTTGTCACTTTCCCCTTCCCCTGTTTTCTCAGAATCCACAGCATTGCTTACTTCTTTCCCTTCCTCTGCATTCACCATGTTTGAAATCAAATTCATCAGAAACCCACTTTTCTTCTCTTCTTCTTCTTCTTCTTCCTCTTCCTCTTCACATACTCTGTTCGACATGAAATTCTTCAGAAACCCATTGGCTTTCCCTTGCTCTGTTTTTTCTTCACTCACAACCCCACTTTCCTTTTCTACTTCTCCTTTCTTCTCTTCACTTCCTTCAGTAGACACCATGTTTGAAATGAAATTCCTCAGAAACCCACCTGCCTTTTCCTCTTCTTCTTTACCTCCGCGTTGCTGGGTGAGGTTCTGAGGCACTTCCTCTGTGTTTCCGTCTTCCATCTTCGAATTTTTTTTGCCGTTTCGATGAAATTATGGAACTTTCTTGTTTATATAACAAGAAAGTTGCAGAGGAATGGACGAGCGTCTCTTGCAAGTGATGATTAAACAAAAGGAGGCTCTTTGCAGGTTACACGTATTTCGTAAAATTCTGTCGGATGGGGAATTCTTTTTAGCGAATCATAATTTGACGCGTGGATATTTATGAAATATTTAAATTTAAGGTCGGTGGGAATTTTATTATAAATATTTATCGGGTTGTGTGCCGGGTCGGATATGTCGGAGTTCGTGGGCCTTCCCAATTTAACCCATATATTTGGGTCTCCAAAACTCCAATATTTATGGCCTCATACATTTAAACCACTTCTGATTTTTTTTAATTAATAAAAAAATTAAAAATTCAAGAATTTATTATCTATTGTTGGATGACGAAAGTCGCTAATTTAGGGAATGATAATGGGTTTATAATAAAAAAAATACTCTTTCCATTGGTACAAGTTATTTTGGTAAACTCAAAGCAGAATTTATGTTCAAAGTGGACACTATCATACCATTGTGGAGAGTCGGTGTTGATTTTAAAATGAGTACTAATTTAATGTTAAGTGTGTGGAACAATACCACATTTGTATTAAACTTCCACGTAGGGTTTATTCCAATGTAAAATGCTCACCAAAGATGATTCATTTGTTTTTTCTTTAATAATGCCAAAAATCGATTTCAAATTATTTTTTTTGGTCTCTATAAATAAAAAAGGTTGTTCTTTTAGGATTATGATTTAGTTCATTATTTTCTTCTTTTTGTAATTTGTACTTCATTTTCTACTTTTAAAAATAGAGAAAAAATAAAATAATAATGTAACCCTAATACAAAGTTGGGTATCTATACAGTCTACACCTTTTTAAAAGTTTTTAGAAAAAAAAAAAAAAAACAATTTTTTTTTTTCTTTTAGTGGGAAAATTGGTTCTTATTTTGGAAGCTAAGTATCTCGTGGAATATTATTTTTTTTAAAAATATATATACCAAAAGTCTTGTTGCATCCCGAAAGGGTATAAAGAGAAAATTCTCGAATTACTAGTAATAAGTATGAACAATAACAATTTAAGTTACAGTCCACCACTAATAAATATTGGCCGCTTTGGCCCGTTACATATTTCCATTAGCTTCACAGTTTTAAAATGCGTCTATTAAATAGATGTTTATACACCCTTAGAAGAAATACTTTATTCCTTCGTTCCCCTCTCCAACGAATCCAACCAATATGAGATCTCACAATTTACTCTCTTGGGAGTCCAGTATTCTCGCTAACACACCATTCGGTGCTTAATTTGGCGATTTTTAACATGATTGGAATGGATAGGGTTGGATAATGTAACTTTTTTGGTTTGTTGTTGTTATTACAAATTAACAAATTAAAAGAAAAACACAAGTGGATGGAAGAAAGAAAAAGCAAAGTAAAAATAAATTGAAAAAGAGAAAGTCCAACGACACCAAAGGCTCCAACTGACAAGACACTGTCGTCAGATATTATTGATATAAAAACAGCAGAGCTGATATCAACGAAAATCTTGTTCAGGCATGATCCGCAATTGAGTCGCGTCATAATGGGTCGCCTTAGCCGATGGGATGCCCCCGCCGTGACGGCTCTGTTGATGTTGCTGTTGTTGTTATCGCCGTCGCCATCGGCGTCGGGAAAAGTAACAGTGTCGGTGTATTACGAAGCTCTGTGCCCTTTCTGTGCGAACTTCATAGTGTACCATTTGGTGAAGCTTTTTGAAAACGGACTCATCACCGCCGTCAATCTCCGCATGATCCCTTGGGGCAACGCCTGGATCCAACCCGACGGCGCCTTCTCTTGCCAGGTATGCCTCCCAAATTCCCCTGCCTTTTTCCTTCATTTTGATGATTTTTCATTGATTCTGATTTGGTACTGTTTGGGTGCAGCATGGACCAGATGAATGTATGTTGAACGCCATTGAAGCGTGCACAATTTCAATTTACCCTGATACAGTAAAACTCTCTTAATTTTGGTCAAATCTAATGGTAACTATCTAGAGAAGATGAATAAAATCTGTGTTTTTGGTGTGTAAAGGAAAAACATTTCAGATTCATCCATTGTGTTGAGGGATTTACAGTGCAAAACAGACACAATGAATGGACAAAGTGTTTTGACATTGCCCAGTTGAGTGCTATACCCATAGATTGCTACAGAAATGGCCATGGAAAACTGGTAATGCTGCTTTCTTCTTCTCCATCTTCTCTCTGTTTCTTGACTCTGATAATGGAAGCCATTGAAATGCAGCTTGAACAAAGCTACGCTTATGAAACAACTCAACTCAACCCGCCTCACCGATTTGTTCCATGGGTTATTGTCAATGATAAGCCTCTCCAAGAGGTCGGTCAGCCTCGACTCGACTTGAGCCAGTTTGAATCATTGTTCTTTCTTTGCCTTGTCATTCTCTGAAATGAACCTGTTTTCTTTTGTCTGAATCAGGACTACCAAAACTTCATGGCATATGTCTGCAAAGCTTACAACGGCAGTCCTGCACCAGATGCTTGCAGGTCTATAATGCTCGACGACCGCCATTACCTGGAGAGTGCCAATGGTGGTAGTCAAGTCTGCTACGTAACTTCGCCAAGAAACACGACATCGTAAATGCTGGCAAGGAGAGATCTCAAGATCAAACCAGTCAGAAATATGGATACTAGTTTCTGTTTCAAAATAACAGTACAAGAAGAAAACTATAGAGTATAACTATTTTAGTTTCAGAGTTATGATAAGATGATGCTAATGTTTGTATGTTGATGTAACGTCGGATCGCTCGGATAGAGCAAAGTTTGGAACTTAGTTAAAATGGTCAATGTCTGATATTTTCCTCATACCAAAAACTAGCAAACTATCACTCTCTATGTACTAAAAATTGCACACTTCTTCAACATGATTGGCCAATTCAACTATTAATGCTCTACAAAAGATTAGGGGAAAGCATAGAACCTGATATTCTGAACTCCATCTTACGAAACATACTGAAACTGAATCTGATATCATGATTAGAAGATGATGGCTAGATCTCGTCTTGCTTGGTTGCTGCTTGTTCAACAAATGAGTATTATTATCACCGTAAAATATCGTCTCAGAACAACAGCATAATTAGATACAATGACATCCTGTGATAGTAAAATAGTATCATAATCAAACTAATTTAAACTACCATATGAGATGAGTGGAATGAATACAAGTTCAGTTGGCTCCCTCGAGAACCAATTATCCGTGGAAATGAGCAACATTTCATGGAACGGCGTCTAGAATAGATAGGCATTCTTTTCATAAAAAATTTTCAAGAACTAAGGAGATGTGATTTACAATAAGTTATCACAAACAATACAGTACTTTAGAAATCATTGCTTTAAACATTGGTACTATGGGGAATTAATCATATTCCAAATGTCATTGCATATATCAAAAGAAGACGTCTTAGTCGGATCCAATTCAAACTTCTGCACAACCCGTTTATTTCTATCCACAATATCTGTAGTTGATTAACGTTAAGGTAAAGTAATAGCCAGAGAATATATGTATAACAGAAGAGTAGAAACTCAGATGAAGGATACGGCCAGATATTTTAGAGTGATCATCCATGTTTGGAATGATGTCAGTGACTGATGCATACATTGAAAGCTTCCTCCTGTAAGAAGAACAAAAATGTGTATCAATTTGGAAGATATAGAATTGTCGGGTTAATGTCAACTAAAGATTACCGAGATTCAACTTATCAAGTATCAACCAGTTTAAATAAGTTCATAGTAAAGAAGAACATGGTAACTGTAACCATTGTAAATCCAGTTCCTGATGTTATTGTCTAATCCACCTCCATCTACACAAGAAACTGGTGTGGAGGCATTAACAAATCTCAAATACCCTGAAGAGAAATTTCTTGTTCTCAGCACAGGACACAAATTCAAATGCAGAGGCAGATCTAAGTTACTTCAGAAGTGTTAGAGGATGGCTAGGAGAGAAGTCCCACGTCGACTAATTAAAGGGTTGATCATGGGTTTATAGGTAAGGAATACATCTTCATGGATATGAGGCCCTTTGGAGGAAACCAAAAGCAAACCCATGAGAGCTTATGCTCAAGGTGGAAAATATCATACCATTGTAGAGAGTCGTGATTCCTAACATGGTATCAAAGTCATGCCCTTAACTTAGCCATATCAATAGAATCTTCAAATGTTGAACAAAGAAGTTGTGAGCATCGAATACGTAGTCAAAAGTGACTCAAGTGTTGAATAAAGAGTGACTTTGTTCGGGGGCTCCAAAGGAGTCTAGCCTCAATTAAGAGGAGGTTGTTCAAGGGTTCTATAGGTCTCAGGGGAGGCTCTTTGGTGTACTTTGTTTGAGGGGAGGATTGTTGAGGATTTTGTTGGAAGAGGAGTCCCACATCGGTTAATTAAGGAGTTTATCATGGATTTATGAGTAAGAAATACATCTTCATTGGTATGAAGCCTTTTAGGGAAGCTAGATGCAAATCCACGAGAGCTTATACTCAAAGTGGAGAATATCATACCATTGTAGCGAGTCGTGATTCCTAACAAAAAGAACATGCATAAAGATTATGGTTGTCAGGAACAATTTTACAGGAATTAGTTCATTGCTACTAAATTAACAGTCACATCTTCACTATAGAAATTAGATATATACTCACTGCGCCCTAAGTTCTTGTTGTTCAAGTTTCTTCGTTGCCTGCTTCCTTTCTTGAACCGAAATCCTTTGTCGGTCTAGCTCATTAATTTGATTGGTGACAAGTGTGTTGAAGAAAATCAGGCAAATACATTAGGGAGAAAGAATCATATCTCAAATTTCACTCATAAATTTAATTATATACTCATCTAATCTCCTCCATGAGCAAATGTTCTTCCCTAAGTTCCTCTTCGACCTCCTTTTCAAGAATATCCATTTCATCATCTGCAACAGTTCTCGCTTTCGCCTCCTCTGTTTTCACCCGGCATTCCTCGATTTTCTTCTCATAATCTGAATCATTTAACAACTCGTTAAACAAATTATACGGAACCAACTCTCACAATTCGTTCACCCCAAAATCACTAACCGCGAAACGATTACGAATTTAACCTATTTTTCGAGAGAGAGAGAGAGAAAATAGACCTTGAACTAAGTGAACATTACTGAAATCATCGTGACAAGAAGATTGAAGGGCGTTGAAATGTTGGAGACATTGATTCAAGGTTTGAACGTCGTTTTGGTCCTTCAATAAAACCACCAGATCGTTGCCATAAGATAAGAGTTCCTCGATGTTCATCTTTCCGGAGAAATCCCCCATTCCTCTAAATCAACAACGAACCAACAACGAGATTGGAGAGAAGAGTGATGCGGTGATACAAATTTTGAATTCAGGAGCCACTCGTCAGACACAGTAGGTCTGAATCCTGCTCTGTCGACGTTTCGTGGTTTCATAATTACAATATTTGAAACTTTTTTTTTTTTTTTTTTTTTTTTTTTTTTTTTTTTTT